CTATGTGATGTTATCTATACTTCTACTGGTACTGACTCTCTGCTTACTGACGACCAATGCCAATAAAGGTTAGTACCCATTTTTATTATAGTTGTTAACAGTTCTTACTTTACAACAGTGATATTCAATACAAGGAGGTGTCACAACAAAATCATTTACTCTCAAATTAGCTGCTCTTTTAGATTAGTTACTTGATTACAACTAATATTATCAGTTATTAATTATCATAACACTTAATAGGGAAAGTGACTCTGATAACTACTTGTGACGATAGCTTGGAAGTGTATCTTGATGGAGTCCAACATGAACAACAAGACGGTACCCTTAAAAACTGGGGTCAAATGACAGCGTTCCAGACATCAGAAGCATTGAGGGTGATAGCATTGAAAGGCACTGACTCAGCAGGGGGTAAATATTGGGGTATGATAGCATCACTACAGAACGAGGAAGGAAAGACAATCTTCGTGACAGACACTAACTGGAAATGCTCATTGGTCGAGGAAGCAGGATGGGAGCTGCCCGGATTTCAAGATAGTTCAGATAACTGGCAGAGTGCTTCTAAGAAAGGTGACAACGGTCAAAATAGATGGGGTGATATATCTGCAATATCACGTGATGCAGACTGGATCTGGGCGGTCGAAGGTGCATCAGGTTCCACAGCTTACTGTCGCGGAGTAGTAAGACCAGGTCATTTTAATATGTTAACAAAATTAATACATTTTAGTGGGAGCTGGTATCGTTCTGTTGACTTTTGTTCTGTTGACTGTAGTGAAATGTATCAAGTTGTACACAGTGACAACCGCGACCGGTGCGGTGGAAAATACTGTTTAAATGTACTTTATTTATTGGCAAAATTCATGCAAAACTTCAATCTAGTACATAATCATATTGATATAAACTAGCGTATAATGTAAATAATTTATGTATCATAATTTCAGAATGCACCACTCTCGACTCAACATGGGGAAAAGTTCAGACTGAGCCAGTACTGCCAGTTGACCCCGATATTCATATAGAGATAACGTTCACTTGTCTAGCAGACCATATCCACAAGGGTGGCAGCAAGGGAACTTGTCTGCAGAACGGTGATGTAGTCGGAGTCCCGACTAACGGACCTCCACCTCAGTGCTCTTAGTAATTGACCATTGTTAATGGTCTGGCCCGGCGCGCGCTACTTCGTAGCACTTGCCGTCATAGCACTTGCGGTGCGTGCTATTTCGAAGAAATTTAGACGAGTAACATCCGTCAACTGTATTATTACCTTACCTAGATATTATATATTTCCCCTGTATGAACTTGAAAAAGGTGTTAGGGTCTGCCCACACGGCCACACTACGCCATGTGGCGACGGGCCACATGGCGTGGGTCAAAAGGCACAGTGTGTTTAGAGCTCCCGCCATATATGTGGCCCGTCTATCTAAACACACTGTGCCACTTGGAGTGGATTTAGCAAGGCGAATTTAGCAAGGCGAATAGAGGCACGGATTTTTAAAATCCGTGCCTCTATTCCCCGAGAGTTTCCACGCCAACTGGCGGGAGCTAGCTCTAAACACACTGTGCCTCTTGACCCACGCCATGTGGCCCGTCGCCACATGGCGTTAGGGGGTGCACGATAAAAATAAACTTGCTCGGATTTAAAAAATTTTTGTACCACTGTTTTCTAGAGACTGTGAGAATTTTCACAATACCAAATTTGTCATACCTTTTTGGAAAGATCAGTGAGTTTCGCCTAGGTGCCATATTTGATGGTGCGCGGCTTTTGGAGCAAAAGTAACTGTAAAAGTCGCGTAATTTGACCAAATTCGTCCAAATTTGACCATTTTTGTCGTATTATTCGGATTTATCTTCAGTTCCTTAAATGAGATCATTCTGGAAATTGGCGAAGACCTTTCAATAGGGCTTTCACAACTGTCCGAAAAATTTGGTGGATATCGGAGTTGATATAATGATAAAAATGGGGCAAAATACGCTGCTTTTAGCTGTAACATAATTTCTGATGGTTGGATATGCTTTAAATTTTGCGGACACTTTCCTTGTAAATCTATGAGTAAGCTTACTAATTTTTGTTGCAATTGGAGGTCGGGAAGAGTACTTAATATTTATTTGTTTGAAGAAAATTGTGCTGGCCGAAATTAGCGCTTAAAAACTATCCTACAGTCGGCACGCGCGGCTCACTGTCGATGGCACACTACCTAATGGCGTAGTGTGGGCAGGAAATCCGTGCCTCTGAATAGAGGCGCAGATTTGCTAAATCCACGCCAAGTGACACAGTGTGTTATGTTTGGGTTAATCGGGCCATGTGGCCCGTCGCCACATGGCGTAGTGTGGACAGACCCTAAAATGCGGCGAACTGTGCACGATATAAAGAAATCTCTTCTTTCTCACAGTACGATAATATAGAAGTAAGTAGCTGTAATATATTCCGCTTCATTGTTATTATAGTCATTACGCAGTGTGGGCAGACCCTTACGAATAATTAATAATCTGAAAATTTAATATTTTTTAGATTACTGGATAAGTTATGTTAAAATATTAACGCCAGATATAATGTTTAATGTCAATAAAAGTTGAAAAGTTAAGGGTTTAGAATTAACACGTGACCAAGTGTAATTGTTAGGTAGGGGTATAGTCCCGGTATAGTAAATTGAGGGTGAACTGGTTTGCAATATCTCAGGTTTGCAATATCTCACGGCCTGTATTATAGTAATTTATAGAATAGTTTTACTGAGAGATTGGTAGTCGGTCTAGACTGTAGTCGGATTAGTTTTGAAGTCTTTATCAGTAGGGTTGAAATGTCCCACGGCGTGAAGCTGTAGTTAGTATTTTATTGATACATGTTACGTATCACAAATATCAGAGATAATATGATATATATTATTCCGCCTTCGGCGGCGCGCGCTTCGCGCGCGAAAAGTGGCATGCAACGTATGTCAAGTATTTTAAGTCTTCGTAATTTAGTAGTTATTTGGAATTGTGAAGTTCCCGGTGGGAAAAGCAGTGGCTTATAAAGATTGTTAAGTTTCAATTTTATTAGAGAGCTTATAGTTATAGTTATACATTATAGTTAAAAGAATACTAACAATTATTCTAACAGCATTGATTTTTGATTATTGTGTTGACAAACTGGCCGAGGTGTTACGACAGTGACATGAGAACAAACTCCCCGAAGACCTATCAACCAGCACTCTACAAAAAGGGAAGCTCACCTTGAACTCGCCGCCTTTCTGCCTTTTCCCTTATCTCCGGCCCGGGGTCATGCTCTGCTGTGCCCGCTCTCTCTCCACTCGTTAATAATTTTCATTATAGGTTTGTAGTTTTAAAGTTAAGTTTTTGGTCATATTGTTATCGTTGCTTTAAATCGTATCAAAATGTTGATGTTAAGATTAGTTCATACTTAAGTTAAGTTTTGTTGCAGAATGCATAATATGCGGTTAAGATATTTATACATAATACCTCACCAGATTGTCTCGCCGCTACTACTTGTTTTCGATCGACCCTTCCAGCAACTAGGCTAAGCTATGGGGATCTATTCCCGAGGTATTGTTCTTACATTAAATATTAATCAAATGTTCATAAAAATAGTATTTTCGACTTGTTTAATGTTGATCCACGTTTTGTAGTATTAGAATTAGATTCATTTATTGTCCGCTAATTATCAGTCCTAATAGTTCATTAATTCCTAGGTGATATTACGGTGATACCCATCTCTCCTGCTCTGCTTGTCCTTACCTAAGTTCCACCCGAAGTATTGCATCGTAAGTTATTTGAGCCTTATTTGTTTAGTTCTTACAAAAGTTGTACTTTCCTTTATTTAATTTAGCCTAATTAGTTAATAATTGTTACTAGATAGTCGGTCCTTTTATTTATAATTTGTCTCTTTTCAGACCGTTCCTAACCGTTGTGAGACTAAGTCTATGAGTATGATATGAGAGAATGAAGCCTTATCACGGTCAGTCACTATAGAGTTATTGTAATTGTATTGTTAAGTGTTGATAGTTATTAGTATTACCTATTATTGTTTGATCCGTGCGGCCGTGTCCCGACATTCTTAATTAAGTTCATCGTTATAATTAATGCGGTCTGGAAACATTGTATTGTTCTACGTTTACTTCAGAGAGAGAGACAACTGGCACTGCAACCTTGTGAAACATCATCCAATCGACCGATCGTCCTTACTAATTGCTTTCCACCTCACCACATCCGCTGCCACCTTACTTGGGGTAAACGGACTTTCGTTATGATAGTTGATTCAATATTGTGGTCATATTTAATACAATTATTTTACAATCTTATATACTTGTTTCAATTGGTTATCTTCCAGATATAAATTCACCTAAAAGTTCGAAGTCCATAATTACAATATAATTTCCTGTCATAAATCTACCCTTGTACACATGAGAGTTTGGGTTTGAACTGTGCCCTGAGCGAGTCTCAAACCGGGAGGTATTCCATAATATCGGAACCTGAATTTCCATACTCTAGTTAAAAGGAGCCCATTATATGTAGTTAAATTAATGCCATCACAATTTAATGAAACATAACAAATAAATAATCTCTAGAAGTCATGGAAAATTGGAGCATTAAATAGGCCGTTTAGTAAGTTGTCGTGCCGAAACCCGAGTACGCCTCTTAACAGTAATATAAATATGGGTTTCAGGTGTGGTACAACTGTAAGCTGGTCCGTAAAGAACCACGTAGATTTTAGAACCACAGCAAGGTCGCAAGGAATAATAATATCCACTGAGTTCGCCGGGTAAGGCACGTAAGATATTACCTAGTTAATTCAAGTAAGATATTACTTAGTTAATTCAAGTAAGATATTACTTAGTTAATTCAAGTTTGAACGATTCAGGACTAAGGTATCCGAATATTTTTCAAGACGAGCTGATGGAATACCAAATACAATCAACTGAAAATCTCAATTTAAGGTCATTTGACAGTTTACGGAGCGAATTTATGTTCTATCTCAAAGACGTATTGAATAATTAAGACAATTTAAATATGATTTTACACAAATCTATATTGTTCTACAGCTCACAAAAACCAAGCAACACACAAATAAAATCATGAATAAATTGCACATTAAAATTACCAGCTATAGTTTGTGAATATAACGTTAATTTTTATTCCATAGAAAATTTGAAATTTAAGACAATTTACAAGTTGTTGAAACAAATATTCGTCACACAATTGTTAGGTACTGCTCACTACAATTATTCAGTATGAACCTCTTTAGGCGAGCTAAAAATGAATATTAATAATTATGAACAAATTCATTATGATTACTACTAAAGAAAGAATCGGTTTGAAGACCGCATTAAATTGAAAACTGAACAATAAATAAGGTTAAGCACAATTCCAGGATTCCGAGCGCTGTCTGAACCAGTATAAATTAAAACATTAGATTACATTCTCAACTTTTAGAAAAACTGAAACATCCCGCTGTCGTCTAAAATCATGCAATTGTGAATGTTAGGTTTAGATTTCCTTGTCTTTGTCTGCGTCTTCGTTCAAAGCGTCATCAAGTTGCTGTGAGGCGGTTTCTGTGGCGACCTGAGCTCCTGCAGCCAGCATCACTCCAGCGGAGGAATCAGCGAACTCAGAGGCTGAAAACATATCGTTTAGATGAACTATTATTCAGTTTAAAAGTTTAGACGATTCAGAAGGTGCCGGAGTTATCTATCAAAGCAAGCTGGTGAAATAAATTAATCGATTAGTAAAACTCTTAATTTTACGTTATTTGAGTGAGTTAATAATAAATCAGCAATTAATTACACATTTAAACGATCAGCTGTTAGCTGTAATTTGTTTAAATAAAGCGATAATTTGTATTCCATACTGAATCCGAAATTTAAGGAAGTGTACAAGTTTACGACACATCATTGTCACAAAAACAGTACATTTGTCTTATTGATGACGTGAACCTGTTTTAATGAGCTAAAAATGAAACTCAGCGACTGAAAAATATCTAGTTTAGATAAAAGACAGTAAACGATGCTCCGGGATGTTATTCAATATTTCACAGATATTTGCTAAAACTACGTGTTAACTCCGGATTGGATATATCAACTGACGATTTAGGCGACGCTGGCGTTTCTTGGACCTTTGTTGTAATTTGAAGCATGGCGAACAATATGAATTATCGATTATGTCGATTTCCGATCGACTTGATTCTTCATGACGTTGATTCGTCGTACGAATTGAGATAAGAACGCGCCAAACGTACTTTTTCTGAACTAATAATTCTTGATTGTGACACACAAATTTGGTTTGGCGGTCGCGCGCGTCGTCACTTACAGGAACTGTCACTTCTAGTGCCACAATTTAGTATAGTGGTGTGCGACCGCCGACCAGGGCATTTTATAATCTATCAGATAAAATTGTTAATTCCATCCCCGAAAAACAGGGCCTGTCCGATAATTAAAAACTTTAAATTTCTTTACCTTCACGTTTAGCATCATCAACGTATTTGTTGACTTTTCCAGTGACCTTTTCCAATCTAGCATCAATCTTCTCTTCATTCTTGAGCAAGAAAGGTCTCAGGATTTTCTTGTAGACGACAGTGGCTCCGTTGTTGGGGATAGGCCACATGCACCACAGCAGGAACAGGCACTGAAATCATGGCAACTGTTAAAGCGGGAGCAATGTTATACTTCATATATTCCACGTATCACAAGAAACATTCCCCGTATAGAAAGGAAACGTACTACCATGCCATGGACACACGTACATGAATATATTATAGCACATATAATCGATAAGAATTGAATTTCCAGCGGCTACAACCTACCTACACGTAATGACGGTAACTTGAACTATTTATAGGCCGGTAATTTAATTTCTTCAACACAGTGGACGGTAGATCTGTATAATATCATATTTCTTGTAGACTAAATAACACGTACTGGGCTGTAAATTCTCACGAACATTCGAGAAATTATCGTTCAGAATTACAGTGCACCAGTACTAGCTATCGGAAGGGTCACGAATCAAGATTAACTAGTTAAGATGATTGCCTCAAAATTTAAATGGCACGAGCAACAATTGTAACTCGATTTCCTTCCTAAATACTCAAGTTCACAGTAATTATAACCAGATAATAGACCATTACAGCTGGGCAGCTAACTGCACAGCTAGTGTAAACTTTTAATTCACCACAATTTCCGTTCCAGTTATAACTTTATAGATATCATGCTTTGATATCTGTACTCTGAATGTTAAGAAAGGAAATAGCGTGGAAAGGAGAATTTATTAGAAATGAAAAGAATGTCTCATAAATTAGCAGTAATTAGCACCTTCAAGGTATTCTCTGTAATGACTTGACATTCTTGATCTACTGACAGAACATTCCAATATTTTAATATAAGTGAAGTATAATATACAAGCTTAGCAAGGTAAAGTTGTGTGGTAGTAATTTGTGTGCTTTCTGGAATTACAAGTATGTTAATTACACCACACATCTAACAACTACTAATTAAACGCTTCTTTTCAGTTATTTTGCAATTAGCAGAATTTCAGCAAACCCTATTTTCAGCACTTTTCAGCACGAGCACATAATATGTTTATCATCAGCACAAATAAACTACTTTCACTGCGAACTGCTTAAAACCGCGAAGTGCAGGAAATACACAGGTAAAGATAACAAAATGTCTCAATACACGGTTATATATTGAGTACAGAGGAGTTCACTGGTTGAGTTGTACAGTGTGTTCACTGCGTGTTATACAGTGTGAACTGTGATCACTGGTTATTTACACTGCCACACTGTAAAACAACAGAGTTTTACAGTTTTACAGTTCTCACTGTTCGTAGAAGTTATCTCACTACAGCAACATCAGTTCCCTGGATGAAATAAATAAATAAATAAAGTCAATTTTTACAGCACAGCAATATATATCTAAATATCAGATCCTCTGTAATCATAATGTATAAAAAAAGGAGTTTTTCTCTGTGCTGAAGGATGAATCAAGGCAGATCATGGTTCTGTTAGCAGGCCACCCTAGTTATGGACAATACATATATATAAAATAACTAAATTATAATTTTAAAATTGTGTCAAGATTGAACTAAAACATAACTCAGGGTAAAATAGACGTATTCCCTTCGAATCCAGAGTACTGAATCTGAACAGTGTAAACTGTGTAACATAACACTATGTTTTCAATGAGGGATGTAACTACAATAAGAGGGATGTAGTGGATAACATACTGTACTGAAACTAAACACATACACGTATATATACTACCAGTGTTATATATCTAAATACGGGAGCTGAACTGTCAGTCTGAGCTGTGTCAGTACTTCTCTAAATACTGGAGGTGAACAGTGCACACACTGTAATATTGGAGGTGAACAGTTTACACACTGTAATATTGGAGGTGAACAGTGTACACACTGTAATATTGGAGGTGAACAGTGCACACACTGTAATATTGGAGGTGAACAGTTTACACACTGTAATATTGGAGGTGAACAGTGCACACACTGTAATATTGGAGGTGAACAGTGCACACACTGTAATATTGGAGGTGAACAGTGCACACACTGTAATATTGGAGGTGAACAGTGCACACACTGTAATATTGGAGGTGAACAGTGTACACACTGTAATACTGGAGGTGAACAGTGTACACACTGTAATATTGGAGGTGAACAGTGTACACACTGTAATATTGGAGGTGAACAGTGCACACACTGTAATATTGGAGGTGAACAGTGCACACACTGTAATATTGGAGGTGAACAGTGTACACACTGTAATATTGGAGGTGAACAGTGCACACACTGTAATATTGGAGGTGAACAGTGCACACACTGTAATATTGGAGGTGAACAGTTTACACACTGTAATATTGGAGGTGAACAGTGTACACACTGTAATATTGGAGGTGAACAGTGCACACACTGTAATATTGGAGGTGAACAGTGTACACACTGTAATATTGGAGGTGAACAGTGTACACACTGTAATATTGGAGGTGAACAGTGTACACACTGTAATATTGGAGGTGAACAGTGCACACACTGTAATATTGGAGGTGAACAGTGCACACACTGTAATATTGGAGGTGAACAGTGTACACACTGTAATATTGGAGGTGAACAGTGTACACACTGTAATACTGGAGGTGTATTGGTTCTGGCACGTTACAGTAATTATCGGGTTGTTCTGTTGAGAAATACTGGAAGCTGATTGGTTAATAAGAGTGGATACTGCTATAATAACTATATCAGTACCGACCTTCTAATTAAACACTAAAACCTGCCGACAGGAATACAGTTCCGTAATTCTAGTTGAATAACGTGAAATGTAGATCACACAGTAATTTAGTGTAACCAACCCACTGTACAACTATTGAATGTTACTCAGGACTCATAACCATGTGTTGGAGTAATGCCAATATGTTGTTTAGTCAATACTAGGTGCGGTGAGGTGATGTTATATTTAGAAACCCTAGCAACAAGTAAGAAGACCTTGTAGCAGTTCAACACTCAGAATACTGACAGTTGACAAGGACTCTCAGCGAGCTGCAGCCAGGCCATTAATTACCAGTTATTGCCAGTAGAGTTGCAGGCCAGTAATTACGGACTGGTAGACCAATAAATTACAATCTCCAATATTTCCGAGAATAAAGGCTGCAGCGTGTGGGTGTGTTCAGAGAAATGTCATCACAGTTGTTGGAATAGCGCGACGTCAGTGCGTATGATAGTAGACCAGGTAGACCTATACATCACATAACTCTAATATGAGAGGTCAACGACAAAAAGAAAGAACGAGAAAGAGAAAGTGTATTATTATAATGAAATGCAATAATCAATGTTGAGACCTGGTACCAGCTCTGACAATGACAATACTGACAATACCATGTACCATGTATCATGTATCATGGACAGAGGCCCGGGGAGCTGGCACGTGTTAATACCTGTTTACTATGGGACTATGGTACCTGACTTATCACATTTCTGACACTTAAAACTGGTATGTGATAACATGATGGATCAATATTATTTTGTGCTAGTTAGATAATTTTTGTTTTCACCAAAAAGACAAACTTCTCGTTTCTCTTCTAACTACCTAATATAAATAAGTCAGCCGTTATTGCTATACCAGCTCCTAATAAAGATGTTGTTTGAAAGAGCACGTAAACACTCCTAGTTTTGAAAACAAAAGGTCCTAGCCCAGTATAGAGTATTAGATTGCATGATTATTTGATAACACGAGTTCTACTGGACCTGCTTACAATTTAACATGATTAACTCCTCAATTCAGGATCAGCTGCCTAGATTACGGAGGTGTTTTACAAATCTTCATGTTGTCTTGTTTCTTAGTGTATCTTTCAGCGCACTTGTTAGGTGAGTGATTTAATGTTGTTTTAATTAAGAACTTTTTTCAAGCAACAAATAGCTTCTAACCATGTTATTCCTCATAACTTCATAATTTAAGAAGTTCTCAAAATGAAAGAGGTCCTCATGTCCTCATGACTTGACATATTATTTAGTTTAAAAGAGGAATGTTCACTAAACACTCTAACACCTATTTCCCACAGAAACCTGCTACACTCTGCTGATAATATCCACAGTAAGTGCAATAGGAGCGTTACTACGAGTAATAATACCGGTCCTGCTGACACGCCACAAGTTAGCGCACCTCCCCGGCCCCCCAGCACACAATCTCATATCCGGACACGGTGACTACATCAGGGCGGTCACTGCGCGAGGCAGCAACACCAAATATGGGCATCACGTGAGAGGGAGCAACATCATGGTGTTTGATGTGTGGTTAGATTGGGTGGAAACATACGGTCCCCTCTTCAAGTACCGACACTACCACAAACACATCATACCTCTGGTGTGTGGTGCGGGGGATGTGGCGCGAGTGTTACTAGATGTGGGTAACACGAGGTGTGTTTATAAAGATTCTCTGAAGTTCTATCAGGGGTTAAGGATGTTGGGGGATAATGGTATGTTGCTGTCACCGCATAATGAGGCGTGGAGGATTAAGAAGTCAATTCTCAGACAGTTTATGAACCCTGGTAATATTGGGTCTAATGAGCGAATGATGCTTAAAATAATCGACAGATCGCTGTTAAATGCCTCTACTCAGGAGACCTCCACGACTTACTCACCCGAGAATAAAGAGTGTGATGAGTTCGTTGTAGATGATATCTTGGAGCTGGTACAAGGCATGAGCTCCGATATCATGGGACAATGTCTGTTCAACAAGGATTTTGGTTGTTCTACAACAGTGGAAACTGAATGCTCAGACATCGCTAAGATAACAGCTCAAATTGCAAAGGAATGTTTCTCTGTTATCGCGGATCCCACAAGAAAACTGTGGTTCAGAAAGGTAGCTGTGAAGAGACAGACCTGTCAGAACATCTTGAAACTCAGAAAGATAGCAAGGGACATCATAGAAAATGGGTCACCGCTAACGGATAAATTCTCAAATTCTTTCCATGATATTGAAGACATCATCGACGACATCAACTCAATACTCTTTGCCGGACAAGACACTACCTCTAACGCGCTGACCTACGCGCTAGCAAACATAGCATACCACCGAGAAGTCAGCTATTGGCTGAAAGAGGAGATATCAGCCCTGACCAGCTCCTCAACTTGGAGCGAAATAAACCAACTTCCCCGACTAGAGGCTGTTGTCAAGGAGACACTAAGGTTGTATCCAAGTGCTCCAGTCACACTCAGAAACCTCCACAAAGATTACATGATATGTGGTTACACTGTTCCACGTGGTTCCACTATCTGGCTCTCTCCCTACACGGCTGGTAGGAACCCTGTAGTGTGGGACCAACCTGCTAGCTTCCTACCTCAGCGCTTTCTTAACCTCAAGTGCTTGCAGAGGGGGGATTACTTTCCGTTTATGGTGGGTCCTCATCATTGCAGCGGCAAACATTTTGCTCTGGTGAGTCTCTCTATGTTCACTATTTGTGAATGGTTATATCGTATACACATTTTCTTAAAATAGCAGCAATTAATATGCGGTTTCGTACAAATATAAATATTATATTTTGTGTTAATATGAGTTCAACTATTAGTAACACATTATACGCGCACAACTTTACTTTCAGATGGAAATGAAGTTGGTAATATTTCACGTTATGAAGAGATACACGTTGACACATATTGGCGACTCAATACCGAGTCCTAAAATGGCAATTACTTTGCATCCCAGCAGAAAGATACGGATACGATTCAAAAGACTACCAAACTCATCTCATAAGCAGTGTTGAAATACATTATCAAGTTAACGGAATTAACGAGACTTATCGAGTTGTTTTTTTTCGAGAAATTCATTTCAGTTTTTATAAAAAGCACTAACAGAAAATCTAAATCTCCCTTAAAAGAATATTAATCATTAGGACATGAACAGAAGTGTACGCCTGGTTATCATTGTACATGGTAACATCGCCCCATCATTCCTTCAAAATGTATTGTGTAATTGTATTGGTATTGTATTGTGTACTATTTCCCAACTTCATTTTCTGGTCCACTATAAACTTAGAACCACGTACTTTCCAGCATAGAAAATAGTCCCTTTATTCAAACATAGGAAAAGTGTGCAGCTCACACAACGTGTGACTCACTGTTAACAGTTATATAATGCTTATGTTGTGTTTTAGAAGTTAAAATAAAGCTTTAATATTACACAAAATGATTGTATTTAGTATTACATTACATGTCTCAGTGAAGTAACCATGGTTACTTACATTTCATGTCTCAGTGAAGTAACCATGGTTACTTACATTTGTCTCAGTGAAGTAACCATGGTTACTTACATTATATGTCACAGTGAAGTAACCATGGTTACTTACATTACATGTCACAGTGAAGTAACCATGGTTGCACGGTGAATTGTCGCACAATATCACAATACAATTCCACGCTAATAATAATTATACCGTTTCCAAAGCGACCCACTACACACAAAACATTACTGTATGTGTTACTACTACACTAGTACAGTATGTGTTATTACTACACTGCTGTGCGTGTGGTTACGAGATGTGTCTGGTATAGAATCTTATAAGGCTGATTTTTAAAACTCGAGGTGTATTTTTAAAACTCGAGGTGTATTTTTAAAACTCGAGATGTATTTTAAAACTGGAGGTGTACAGTGGTCCGGGACCTAGACATATGAGGTGTAGGGTATCGTTTTGGAACCACCACAACCCGAAATACCAACATTCCCGCTCTCCTGGCACCAAAACAGAACCCCTATTCCTATGGGAGTTGTCGCCATGTCACATTCATTTAAAATTCGTGTCCATCTACGTATAACTACGACAAGTTGGTGAACTGAGTCAATTTAACCGGTCATAATTTGGGCGCTTGTAAATGGGAGGGAAGTCCAGTGGATTTGACATGTTGGACTTTTTAATAAAAATCATACCTTATTTGGGATGATTAGTCTCCTGATGAGTTACAACCAGTTCATGCTTCATGCCTGATACCGTTACTGTTACACTGATTATTAAATTGGCATTGCTACAATATTGCATGATCTTCTTATTTCCTCAACCTATTGGCTATGCTAACTTTGGTTGTATGGGTATTTGGGTGCACAACACTACTAACCATCCTTGTGCAAGCTGCTTCTATAATATCATTCAGTGATGAGAAATTACAAGCTTAAGATGAACATCATCATATAGTGATGCAGTATCCAGATTGTAATTACACAATTACACAGTCTATTAGCTGGATCAGACTCGCTACATGAGTAATGACTGCCTAATTATCAGATGTAAACGTCTGTACTAATCGCATCATGAAGTCTGCTGGTTACCATCTGCTCGTACATGTGGAGTAAAATTCTCTTTCTAGTTTCTACACACAACTGTTCAACTGTATGTTATATACAACATCCAATGCCTCAAGACTCAATATATAATATATTATATGTTCGACGTTCTTGTAATTGTATACCTCAATTTTCTTCTGTAAAGGATGTTGTACTGTACGCTTCGTATTCAGTTAACTGGTAACTGGTAACTGGCTATTACGACTGGTATGCGTTGTAAAAGTAGTGTAGTAGGTGGATTGAATCTTAAACAATGTGCTTACTACTTATTTATCGTTATACATATTATCATGGTTTTAACATTACATGATAAGCCTCCGTCCTTTTGAAATTAAATACACTGGGAAACGCTCCATTAATTTACAAAGTCTGAGAAGGACTGAATCCAGGATTAAAGCCACTCCTTAGTAGGCTACAACTGCTGAATACAGGACACTAAGATCTGCAGAGCATGGATGCAGGCTATTTAATTACATCTAATTAATATTTAATTACATCTAATTAATATTTAATTACATCTAATTGATAATTAAGCTGTCTTTATATAGAATAATGCAGACTGCAGGCGAACAAGCATCAACACTAATATTACGTGTAATTAGTGTTCTGCATAACAACAGCGACTAACTAATGTGTTTACCTTACAGTACTAAACAGTACTAAAGTCACATACTTATATATTCTGTATTTTTGGCGAATCCATTTTAGATGCAGCTAAAATGTTAAAACATCCTAATATGACGGAACAATATCCCCGATTTGAACCCATATTTAGAGAGACAGGTGTGAGACACGGTGTGAGACACGTGGAGACACGTGTGAGGCACGTGTAACCCTACAAACTGACGAGCTTTCAGATGAAGACTAACCTTGAGGAGTTGGAACATGGGGATCCAGAAGAAGATGATGTCTGCGAAGTATTCCAGGATGTTAAAAGTGCTGTACACAATCCAGTAGGTTAGCCATTGAGTATCATCATCTCCTTGGGGGGACTCTACAGCTTTGAACCTGGACAAATAAGGGGTTAGTTTCTGAGTGGGGAGGGGTTTTGTTAAAGTTGTGTAGGAGTGACACAGTAGTCCTACAGTAGGACTGCTGTTCCTCAAGTCTCCTCTGATCTGGAAGTATAATTAGAAACAATAGCGGTTTCCGATCTTAAGTTAATGTTCACTCATTGTCCACACATTGGTAATGGTCCATAGACCTCAAACGAAGCTAAATTAAAGGGAGGAGGCTCTGCTCAACTTAGGTGAACAATAAGTAAGATGATTTAAACAACTTACGACTTGTAAGCGGGGTAGACGAAGCATATAACACTGCAAACAAGACTCGAGCCAATACCGACAGCCAGCCAGACGATTGTCAGGACTAGGGCACCTGAAATAATTAGAAAATATTAGAAAATAATTAGAACATCAGTTAGGTTTAATTATAGATCTGGATAGTAGATAAAGGTGTGACTAAACCCAGAATAACTGGTACGTGTCATATGGTTCACCTGCCACTAGTTTCCAGATGTCAAGAATTGCTGTAGCTGTATATAATAAGAGTATGGGGATGTCATACAAAAACTATTTTTAAACATTTGTATCCATTTCACAATAGAATAGTGGGCGTTGGCCGAAACAACACTCATCGGGGCCATGCCCGACACATCACCACACTTTACTGACGGAATAATACCAATTATACCTTGTATCTTCAATAATCGGGTAAAAACTTGCTTTAAGCTGACTTAAGTTGATTTGAATTGCACAGAAGTATTATTAAAGAGATGATGCCAATACAAGTACTCTGGTAGCAGATTTGAGGCTCGTTTCTTAATACTAAAACATTTCAAGTGTTGATTTAACTACTTTATTATTCATTATATCTCTGGGAAGAAATTTAATAAAATAAAACTTTTAATTTTTGTATTCGATTCATTTGTCTTAACATTTAAGATTATGGGTTTGAGGTTAAACCTACACTTGAAATAACGTGACCTATTGATGACGTGTCAATCATGCAAGTTAAATAACTAAAGAAAATAAGCTAAATAAATTTTCATTATTAATACATAAAATTGGAATATATACCTAATAATATAATAATAAATAAAACAACTTATCTAAGAAAGCTTACTTATAAATAACAGCTTCGCACGATTGTTATCAGTCAAATTGGACAATTTACCGGTGAAACTGTTAAATTGGTCCATGATATTCTAACCCACAATTTCAAAGCAACAAGTATAATAATATAATACACACCAGAACTAGATTGGTCGCACAGAAGATGGGAAGTACCTACTATATAAAGAATGATACAGTTAACTGTGCTCACAAAGGGGACTAAGCTTCAAGAGGTTACAGTCTAGGGTTCAAGACTATTGTTCTTGGAGTGTAAAGTTAACTGTTGGTATCTTAGGAATTTTGTTAAAATTGTGTAAGACTGCTGTCTCTCCATCACTCAAGTCTCATCTGCAATTACTCAACAAGGGCGGGAAGAAACAATAGCAGTGGCCATTATCTTTTACGGGGTCGAGATTAGAAGACTAAGTGGATACAGTGGAGGTTATTGAATTCTGCATGCTTGATAACGTTATAGTTTGCGAATGACTAACTTACCGAGTTGGTTACAAAGTTTAAATGTTAATAAAACTGAAGATCATGAATAAATATAAACTTGCTGGGTGGTCAATCATTTTGGTCAATTACTTGACGAGGTCCTGCCTCGCTCTGAGAAATGCGAACTTAACTATGAGAAAGTTCCATAAATAAGCTGAAGACGATTAACACATATTCTTTTTTAAAGCTTGGGTCACAACAAACTACTACTACTACTACAACTACAACAAACTATTATTCGCATGTTTTAACAACCACCCTCAACTGTAAACAAAGAACTTATTTCTGACAAAGCCACAATTATATAAAGATTTAAACTAATAACAATAAGTTAACTTATAAAAGCAAACTTACTTATAATAATACTTATATATAACTTACTTATAAGCCCCAGCTTCTGTTTATCTTTATCAGTCAAATTCATCAATCGCTCTTTTATAGCGTCCATATTTTAAGCCACCGACAATTTCAAAGCAACAAGTATAATACAAAACACACAAGAACTAGACACGTCCACAAGAACAAGACACGTCACACAGAAAGCTAAAAGCAAGACAACAGGGAAAGTACTACCTACTATAACAGCGAGCAGAGATTTGATTATATTATAGCGGTGAACAATTAGATCTAGATCACAGAGTCCACTACAGTCCAACATCACACAGTCCAACATCACACAGGAGTGTCGCTCCAATTCAGCATTGGAATGTGGTCAAGTGTAAACATGTTAGCACACTTTAGCTTGGGCCACTGTTCATGTTATGAACAATAAACGTAAGGGTGTTTCTTTAAATTCAAATTTGTGAGCAGCCACCATGTCATTTTCACGAAACTTATATTGAGGAAAATAAACGAATACAAAAATGTAATATATATTATAATATATATTATAATATGAGTAAGGGAGTAGTTAATAGAGTGGTCTACGAAAAACAGGAGCCGTAAATATTAAACTGAACAGCAACGTGACAGTGACTTTAAAGTCTTCAGTCTCTTTGGTGAGCAATTTAACAAATTGAAATTTGCTGCCTACAGTATTTTCCAGTCATAAACTCTTGTTACTAGTGATGTTTGAAACTCCCATTCTTATTAGAAATCTGAGTAAGGGTTGACTTTAATAGCCTAATAAAGACACTGGCAACATCTTCAGGAGGATAGACACTCTGATCAGTCTGAAGGCACTGGAAGCTTATAACTCATTAAAACACTGCACTATCTTATTACTATCTCATCAACAATTGCAGTTCGAAGTGATGCTCAAATCCAGTTGATAATACGAGTTATAATAAGAGACAACCCGGACAACGATCGCCAAGTCTGTCGTACGTTTTAAAGGGATTCGAAAGTGAAGAAATTTAATTTTTTAACGATACCGATTAAAATAACAATCAGTTAGATCCGGTAATCGGAAAATTAATCCCAAAAGAACTGACACAAAATGAGATAATGTAATTGAACTAAAGCTGAATGATTTAACAATCTGAATAACTTACCGAGGACCACGTTTCGTTTGGGTAAGCCGGTCTTAGCCTCAGCAATGTTGAGATAGTCTGTGAATATGTTCTTATCTGCTAGAGCAGCATCGAGCTTCTCGATGTAGGGTGCGAGGGCAGCACTCATCTCTATTCTAGACAAATTGGTTTATTTATTATACAAAATATAATAGAATCTATTCAAACAATTACAACATACAAAAAGATTAAAACCATGCAATAATTTAAACATACATTATGTTAATTATGATAGTCAGATGACTTTAATTCATCATGTACAGAAATGAGATCAGCGACAAGTAGGATTGTAATATCCGGATTGGAGTATTATTTATGAGTCGCATTGTTGTAATGTATTCTGTGTAAAATTATCTTTATCCCGGTTGTTGCGACAAGTAAAAATGCTCTTATTAGGGAAAGGAGATTACTTGACGTTTCAATGTAACTACATCGTATTCATGATCTCAAATTATTTGTTATATAGTAGTGTTGAAAGTATTAAAACTCATTAAAACTTAATACTTTCAAACTCATTAAAACTTAATACTTTCAACACTACTATATAACAAATAATTTGAGATCATGAATACGATGTAGTTACATTGAAACGTCGAGTAATCTCCTTTCCCTAATAAGAGCATTTTTACTTGTCGCAACAACCGGGATAAAGATAATTTTACACAGAATACACAAGTAGGATTGTAACTCAAACAAGAAATTAATAAAATAGATAAATAAAGTCAAATTTTATAATTATAGAGCACTTTATCCCGGTAAATATTTGATTCTTATATAATAAATTATATAAGAAAAGCGCAGGATTGAAATCTGAGACTTTTCTGTGACGTATTCTTGATTATAACAGCCTGAAGATAACACGAAAGTTCAATAAAAGTCAAACGAACGAATAATAATGATTCCCCCTTCTAATCAGACAATTGAAATGAAATACAGTTAACACTATATTACTAATTTGTTCTGTGTGTAGTTGTACGGGAAAATAGGTGAGAGGATGAGAGTAATAAGATTTTTTATGAGATCTGTGATATAATGTACTGTTTTAGGATTACATGATATAGCCCTGGGGCAGTCAGGCTAAACATTACTAAAGAAAATATGGAGCAGATGCAACATTCAGGAGGAAAGAGAGCAACGGAAGAACAATCAAACAGAAGCTCACACGCCTGAACAATGACTGATGAAGCTTGTAGAGAGTTGCAGTTAGCAAGATTGCTGTATCAAAAGGAATGGAGAATGAAGCAAAAACTGAAGTGTTTGCTGAATTGCAGCCTTTTAATGTAGTGCTGATGAAAGATGCCTCAAATGACGAAAGCAAACATGAGAATTCCAGATTACTGCTTAAGCCTGTTAAAATCAATGGACTCATCATTTTGGAGTAAAATTTTATGTGATAGCAGTCTATGTAATAAGCGCCATTTTTGTCAACATTTTTGTCTCCAGTTTTGATGAATTTGGTACCAAAAGTTAGCTTTAAGTGTGAACAATACACTGTGCAGCACAATCAGGTCAAGTTGTACATGTGCCCTCTAGTCATTACAAGTGTGTAAAATTGATGAAAAATGGATAATTTTTCGCTTAACTTTTTGAATATCGAATGTTGTGAAATCATTTTTACATGATCGTAATCAGCTTGGTCACACTCAACTTTTGGTACAAAAATAACAATATTTGAAGGAAAATATTTTCAAAAATTTTGAAAAATTATATTTCTTTAAATCTTAAAATATTAGTACCAAAGGTTTTGTCTCACTTACCTGATTACGACCCCATAAAGATTATTTCGAAATAACTGAAACTGTGGAAGTTATAGGCCAAAAACTATAAAAACGGCAAATTTTGAGCAAAAAAGCACATGTGGCAACCAAGCGCTGTGAAGCATTGTCAGCTAACAGTGCTGTACGATGGAATTATTCTATTCACATTTTAAAACAATCTTTGGTACCAAATTTATCAAAATGCAATTGTGAGGGCTCTGATAAGAGCAAACATGAACTATAAAATATATGATATTGATGTGAACATTATTCTATGCAGACTCTCTTGCCAAAAAACGTTCCGACAACTTGGACCCCGCCCAAATACTACTTCTAATACCAACACTCAACAGTACTATGGAAAGGAGCACTGTACTGCGAAGAATAAGTCATCGGAAAATGAGGGAAAGATGAAGAACATTTAAAACGAGTGTGGAGAGACAAGTTCGCCCGTTCAATCCCAAAACTTAGCAATAGAAAAGCGACAGATGAAATTTTGATCACAGGTAACAAAGTGGCAGTCGAAGAAGTTATCTTTGAAGCCATCGATTCAATGTTAGTGAAAAAGGCTGCTAAGCTGACATCAGGATCAGGTGGACCAACACTAGTAGATTCAGAGTGCTGGCAGCACATCCTGTGTTGTAGTGCATTTAGTAAATCCCAAGAGCTTGTCGCTGAAGCAATTGCCAGATTAGCCAGGCGTGTATGTACTGAAGATGTAGATTTCAAATCAATAGCAGTGCTCACAGCTGGTAGGCTTGTCCCCTTAGATAAATGTCCAGGCCTAAGACCAATTGGTATTGGTGAGATCCTGAGACGGATTATTTGGGAAGTGTGTGATGATGGTATTAAAAAAAGATGTTCAGAAGAATGCTGGACCACTTCAAACATGTGCAGGCCATGAAGGGGGGATCGAGGCAGCAATACATGCTATGGCAGAGGTGCACGATGATGAGGACACGGAAGCCATTTTGTTAGTGGATGCTTCCAACGCATTCAACGCTCTCAATAGGACTGCTGCTACCAACAACATGCAGTATGTTTGCCCACCACTTGCTAAATATTTTGAGAACACCTACAGATAACCAACAGACCTTTATGTGGCAAACAGCAAGGGAGTGATCATCAAGAGCTGCGAAGGTTTCACTCAAGGAGACAATATTGCCACTGGTGGATATGCTCTTAGCACCAAGCCACTTATCGACCGCCTGAGAAACATCATCAAACAGGTGTGGTTTGCTGATGATTGGAGGCAGTGTATAAGTGGTGGAAGGAGTTGCTCCAAGTTGGACCTAAGTATGGTTATTTTCCTAACCCATCTAAAAGCATTCTAGTAGTGAAGGACCCTCAGATGATCGACCAGGCCAAGGCATTGTTTGGAGAGTTCAATATGCAAATAACATCAGGCACAAGGCATCTTGGTGCAGTACTTGGCAATACAGGTGTCAAAGATCAGTACATTGCCGATGAGGTCCTAGGGTGGTGCGAAGACATCAAGATGCTAGCTGATATTGCAGAATCTGAGCCTCAAGCAGCCTATTCAGCCTAAATCTCTGGCATACAACACCGATGGAAGTTTGTTCAAAGGACTGTTCCTCATATCTCTGAAGCCATGGAGCCGCTAGAACATGAAATAAGACAAAAGCTTCTGCCAAAGATGCTGGGCAGGGAGATTTCAGACTTAGAGAGGGACGTGTTAAGTCTACCAATAAGATTGGGAGGATTGGGCATTGGTAAACCCCACGAGGAATGCCAGTCTGAGTACACAGCTTCCAAGCTACTCACCACCAAGCTTACAAAGGCAATAGTGGACCAACAGGAAGTTTACACTGCATCCAGTAACCTCACCAAGTCAGGGAAAGAAATGATAAAAAATTTGAAGAATTCCGAGCTCCAAGCCAAGTTTAACGCTATAGCTGAAAGATGTGGCACCTCCTCTAAGAGAGCACTACTAACAGCAAGAGAAAAGGTAGCGTCCAGTTGGCTTAACACATTGCCACTTCAGCAGTATGGCTACACTCTGAACAAAGAGGAGTTTCGAGACAGTGTCTGCTTACGCTACAGTTGGTGGATACCAAACACTCCCATCACCTGTGGATGTGGGAAAACAAGTGATCTTGACCACCTTCTCACCTGTAAGCTAGGGGGCTACGTGATAATGACCCCTAACAACATCAGAGACACAATGGCAAATCTACTTCGTGAGGTATGTCATGATGTAAAAGTTGAACCCCAGCTACAGAAGGTGAATGAGGGTGACTGCCTCAACCCCAAGACTATAACAGGTGACCAAGCTCGGCTTGATGTATCTGCTAGATGAGTTTGGACTCCATTTGATAAGACCTTTCTTGACATAAGGGTTTCACACCCCAATTGCTTATCAAACAGGACAAAAACTCTTCAAGAAGTATACGAAGAGAACGAGAAAGAGAAGAAGGACGAGTACTTGGAGAGTGTTGAATGTGGAGAAGGCTACCTTCACCCCGGCTGTATTCCTCACATCTGGAGGAATGTCTAAAGAGTGTAAGCAGTTCGTCAACAGAGTAGCAGACCTCATTGCAAGAAAAAGGAAGGAAAGGTACTGCGATGTAGTAAGACACGTGAGAACTAGGATAAGATTTGCAATGTTGAGAACAACTCTTATTGCTCTACGAGGGTACCGAGGAAAGAAGGTGGACACCAAACGTGAGATTCAGCTATCAGAAGTTTCATACAACCTCATCCCTGCCCCTATAATGGAGTAGATCATGTGTTTTGTTAAAATGTTTTTGAAAAAATTATTAGTAGCAATGAATTGTGCTCTGCCAATTGCAACACTTAAAATTTGATTGTGCTCTGCCAATTGCATCACTTGATTTAATTGAATGTATATATATACTGTTTGACATAGAAAAGCGACACAATTCCTTACCGAAATAGTAAATTATAAACCTAAATAAGTTCAAGCCGGCAACTATCCCTTCAACTTGTCCACACTGTCTCAGGGAAGAGGAGACAATGAATCACCGCGTTGGTCAGTGCCCAAAGGTGATCTCTCCAACGGGGAATCTACATTTATCTTAATGTGACAGATAAAGTCGTCATCTCTTCGCTCCCAAGGATCATCAGCTTTATGCTTTATAAAAACGTAGAAACGCTGCACCAAATGTGGCAAGAAGTAAAATTATAACTTTTATTTTCCACAATTACAAACTTTACCAGGGTAAGCACAGGGCTCCAATACTCTATCTTATAGTGACCTTGAACATGACCACAGCCCCTACGAAGAAGAAATAAAAATATGACAGTGCTCTCTTCTCACATGATCCATCGACACACAGAAAATGAGCATTACACTTTTATTGTTATAAATTAGTTGATTCTGTAAAATGTGCAGAAATTAAATTTCTTGTTTCATTGAAATTTCTTGTTTCGCTGATCTTTTGAAGGTGACTGCATAATAACGGGTTAAAGTTGAATCACACGATAATAAACTTGCAGCTTTCGATGACAATGTGCTCAATGTTGGTCTCAGTCTGGTATCATGCTTGTATTGGTTTAGGACCTCTTGCCTATTGTTTTTACATATATTTGGTATTAGGTACATGTGATATCTAAAATTGTATAGCAAGCATATTTAATAATTATATAATGAATGCTTAACGGCTTCTGGGTCCTTTCGCCAACTGTACTAATGAGATTATTGAGACTTGAGAGTAACGTTGTGTTCAGGTCGACTTTAACGGCGGGTAATATATACCAGTTAGATGCTAGCATATTCAAGCATATTTATAATTTAATAGTACTTTTTGATGTTAGCATCTA